AATCCTGATGCCCCTTAAAATACAAAACAGCTCAACAAAATAGAAAATAACCCAAAGTGTCCATTAAGCCTGCCTTCACCCCCCCCCACCACAAAGCAATTGACTTAAAAGGGGGGGGGGAGGTTGCTGAGAGCTACATGAACACAGTGAATAGAACCATTGCAAAGAAAGCCTGAGGTTTGGAGGGAGCTACCTTGAGTCAGTCTAATATTAAAAAATGTCTTCTAACCTCAAGAGCCCTTTTGTCCCCTCAGTCCCCTCCTCCCAGGCCAGTGGCTTGTGACAACACAATATCCTGGATTACTTTGACTGTGGCCATGTGGTGTGAGGAAGCCCTGACCCTTCCGGCTTCTTTGTCCTCTTTAGTGTTCCATCTGCGGGAGGGCCCCATGCAGGCAACCCCACTGGTCTTGACTCTGAGGCAGAGGAATAAACATCTTGGGGCTCTTTATTAGTTTATTTCAGAAGATGGAGCCTGTTTGTCCCTGGGGTCCATCCCTCTTTTATGGTCCCTTGCCCTTCTTGACAAATTCTAGTGACTGGAGAGAAAACCCCCCGCTTTCTACAGCAATCATTAAAACACCACCATAAACCTGGGACCATAAAATATTATTTGCTGGGCATAAAGGGGGTAAGACTTTTTCCCAGAAAGACAACCCAGCTCCTGCATTCTCCCACTGGGAAAGGCGGCACAGGGATGTGATCGTTCATAAATTCCTTATCTTGTACTCTGTTTTGTGAAAATAACCCTTTTGGGAGAGCAGCCAAAAATATTGATTTATTTGTTCCATAGACTCAAAAGCATTTTTAATGAGCAGAGCAGGAGATGCCTTGCCAGTGTGTCTGCAGATGACTTAATTTGAGTGCACACACCCAAATGCACACATAGCTTGCAAGGAAAAACATGGAATTCCACAAATTGGAGATATGTTGAACAAAAACCTTAGAAGATAGAGACGGAGTCCTTCGTTTCCTGTCTTCCAGCTGTCTGCTCATCTCTCGGGCAAATGAATCACTGCCCATAGAGGTAGTAGATCTTGCAAACCAGAGTCTGAGTCTGATTTCCTTAAGCAGCGCCCCATGATTGAAGTGGTTGAAGGCTCAATGTGAATTTCCTCTTGATACACATCTTCCTCTGAAAGTAATATTTCCGTCCGCTCACTCATTCTCTTGGCAAGCCAACAAATATTGTTGCCTGCTTAGTAAGTGCTGAAACTGGACCTACAGTCATGGAAAACACTGTGTGTTTCTTCCTCATGGCTATCATTTTAATAAGCTCAATCTTTATCTGATCAGATACAATGTGTATGTGCCTATTTGAAGTTCTTCGAGACTCAGAAAGGTTTGTTGGGAATTTTGGAAGTTTTTTGAAGGATAAACTGAGACGTTACTGGGCCCGCTCGAGCAAATCGATGATCAACGGGAGGGCCTTTACCTTACCTTAAACTGGAAGCACGTGATAATTTAGCTTGCAAACTGCCCTAATGAGTCTTGATGAGGCACCCAAGAACCCAACATAGTTCAGATTTCTCCACTAAAAAGTATAAATGTTTGCTCCAACCTGGTTAAGTCACATGAGACTCAAATCTGCCACCAAATGAAATGGAAAAACCTCTGTTTCATGAGCTTCTTTTTGTTCAAGAGCAAGAGGTGAGTGTCTGGGACAAATCAGACCTGTGCTAAGTGCTCCATGATCATTCCTTCCCATATCTCTGATGTTCAAGGTCATGTTTCACTGCATGGTCACCACATGGCTCATTTTATTTCTCTGTGTGGTTGGGGTGTGTGTGTGTGTGTGTGTGTGTGTGTGTGTGTGTGTGTGTGTGTAAAAGGATTCTGGGGCACTGAGAGGCTAAATGCCTTGCTGGAATTTCACCATTACAAAGTGACAGAACAGGAACTGAAACCTCAGGCTTCAGGACTAGCACTCCAAACCACCACCTAAACCCACCAGAGGAAAGACAGCAAAAGGTAAAGGTAAAGGCCCTCCCGTTGATCGTCGATTTGCTTGAGCGGGCCCAGTAACGTCTCCATTGGAGACTTTGTTGTTACTGTGTCTGGCATATCGAATACTCTCGGTAGCTTGCTGGGCTCTTTGAGAGGGGCAGAGGTATCGAACTCGGGTTGGCCATGTTGGCCGCTTGTAAGGCAAATGCCTTACCCGCTGTGCTATCGCTCCAAAGACAGCAAAACAGGAAATAAAACTGTCTTGGCTATGTCTACACAAGCAAGGGAAACAGACAATTAACCAGATAATTCACAGTATAGTATCTTAAAAATGTGAGGGGGGAGGGGGAGGGGAGGGGAGGGTGTTGAAATGGCATAGCCAGTGCTTCCGGACTGGCTGCATGGGTACAGCAAATTCTCAGGTTAAAGGCCCTTCTCAGGAATAGGATCCTGTGCATACTGCCTGAAGGCACTCAGGTGCTGAATGCCTTCTCAGGCATCCATAGGGAGCACCATTCTTAGCCAACTCACTTCCTGCCTTTTCTCAATGCCTCTCTACCCCAACTAGGTTTGTCTTAGGAATTGTTCCCTTGGGGTATGTTTTGGGTGCTTGCCCAGGAGGCATGAATGTGGCTTTGGCCAAGAGTATCCCAGGTTGCAGCTCAGGGGAAAATAAAGGCACGCCCACAAGGAGCAGCAGAGGGACCGCTGGCTGGGATTGATCTACTAGGCTGAAAGTCCTTGTTTAAGGACAGGTCTCTCTCTGGATAGGAAAATGCCCCTGGATCTTTAAGTGGCCAAAATTTACAGAGGCTGAGGGGAAATGAGGACTCTGGAGTTAAAGGGAGATGTCCCACGGAGAGTTGTACTATTTGGATTCCCCCCTTTTATGGCTGAGTGAAAGAAAGAAAGAAAGCACAAGCATTTCTTGCGACTTGTGGGAACCCCCCCCCCCACACACACACACCACCACCACGTATCCCAAGCACTGTTTGCTGTGTCAGCAACAGGAAGATTTCGTGTGTGTGTGTGTGGAAGGGGGGGGGGGGGTGTCAGTAAACCAGAACAAGGACCAGGAGAGCTCTGGGCTTTGTGGAATACCCAGGAGCATCTCCCAGAGCCTCTGAAGAAGTCACAGCAATGGAAGGGATAGGGATGGGAACTACTACCGGCACAAAACAAATCATCAACCTTAAGTATAGAGTTTTAGGGTCAAGTGCATGCAACATGGAGGCTTGAGAACAAGAACTGCATGCATGCGAGCATGAGGCAGAGTTTGGGGGTGGCCTCTCCCGGCGTGCGTGCGGAGGAGGAGGGGTGGCCCACAAAAAATCACAAAAATCACCAACCCCGACAACAGTTCTTGTCTGGAGACGTCCAGGAAGTTCGGGTAGCCGGACCGGGACTAGTAGAGGTAGCAGGCTTTCTCACCTAAGAGCGCCCATGAAGATCCACTATTTCACAGTCCTAGAAGCGAGGGATGTTAGCCAGACGCTCAATTACTCAGGAGCACCCTCTCCTCCAGCCCCCGACACTGGCCCCTACCCCGCCCCCCTCTCCCGGTAAGAATCGGGAGCGGTCCTCGGCGGGGTTCCGTGCCCCATGTGCAGCGTCCGTGCAGTCCCTTTGGGGGCGACCCGGGACGGGCAAGCTAAGGGGTCCCGCCTGCGAAGTTGGGGTTCAGTCTTCGGCAGGTCGGCAGCTTTTGGAAGAAGCGCAGACAGCCAGCCTAGCGGCCGGCCGGCAACGAAGGCGGAGTGGCCCCTTCTCACTCTCAGCAGATGTCTGGGGGATGGGGGGCCGAGAGAAGGGGGCTCCGGCAGGGAGTGTAGCCCGCCTCCTCTGCACCCCGGCCCGTGGTACGGCTTTAAAATCCTGCGGAGTTTGTCATAGGCCGACCTCATCACGCATGCGCATAGGCAAAGTTGACTTTTTTCTTTCTTTTTACCACCCCCCCCCCCCCCCTTTCCCTCTCTTTCCAGTCGCCTTTGGTTCTGCAACTGAAAAAAAAAAATTTTTTTTTTCCCCCCTTTGAGAACACCAGGGGAAAGAGGAGTCCGGAGAGAGGGAGGGAGAGAGGGAGGCAGCTGGCCAGGAGGGCCGGGGGGTGGGTGGGGGGGGACGCGGTCCCTGCGGTCGGTCAGTCTGTCTGCGGGGCACAGGATCGCCTGGAAGGCTGCTGTGAGCTCCCCGGCACCGCCTCCGTCGCCCGGAGTCCCGCTCGGTGCAGCTGCTGCCCAGCGAGCTCCCCCTCCGCCGCCTCCCGCCTCCAGCGCCTCCGCCGCCGCCTGGCCTCGAGCGCCCGCCGCCCGCCCGCCCGCCCGCTCGCCCTCGCGCTCCCCGGCCCCGGGCGCCCAACCCCGGAGCGCCGGAGCCGAAGCCGCACCGCGGAGCCCGCCGGGTGTCCTCGTCCCTCCCCAGCCGCGCGCCCGCGGTGCCCTCGCGCCTCGGCGAGCCGGGAAGACGGGGGCGAACGGGGGGCGTGGGGAGGGGGCAAACCCACCCGGAGAGAGAAGGAAGGGGCGAGGGAGAGGGGAGCCAGTGTCTCCCCCGGCGCCCGGGGCAATCACCCATCGCTCCCCAATCCCACCGCGCGGCAGAACTTTCGGGGGACGGCTTGGACCCATTTTGCGCCCCCTTTTTGCCAAACTCTGAAATGAAAGAACAGAAGTTGGCGCTGACTCTCGCAGCTCGGATGGCGATTTGCGCGTTTTCAGCGGCATCTCCCGGAAAAAAAGCCACGCGCGCCTGAACTGTTCGGCGGCCCCGCAGCTACCGCGCGTGTATGTGTGCGTTTCGGTGCGTGTCTGTGTGTGCACAGACGTCCACACTGTCCTTCGGGGCCGCGGGATCCGCGCCTGGACGCAGACGTTTCAGCCGCAAGACTTGGAGAGGAGGAGCTGGGGATCAGCAAAGCGTGAGGCGCCCGGAATTTGCAGAATCCGTGGTGTGAATGAACTGGGGGCACCTGGGCGCAAGGATCGCCCCCCCACCCACCCCACCCCCGCTTCGCCCCGGGCCAGAGTTGAGTAGTGGGGCATTTTTTTCACCCTCTTGTGAAGAATTTTTTTTTTTTTATTATTTGTTGTAAAGTCTTTTGCACAATCACGCCCACATTTGGGGTTGGAAAGCCCTAATTACCGCCGTAGCTGATGGACGTTGGAGAGGGAGCGCCTCGCCGCGAAACAGTCGCCTGCGCGCCCTCGCCGGACCCGCGGCTCCCCGGTTGCGCCCCGGCCGGGCCCTGTCGCTACTGCCGGCCGGCGGGCTTCTGCGCCCCCTCGGTTCCCCGGAGCATCCTAGCGAAACTCGGGAGCGAGCGCCCAGACTCGGGCGCCTGCGAACGCCTTTGCTCCAATTCTCTGCGCCTCGCCGACGCGCCCAGGAGGAACCCTCAAGTCTGCGCCGGATCGTCCCCCCAGGCTTAACCCGGCGGCTCCGCTCGGTTTCCTCCACTGCCCTCGCTCGGGTGGCGACTTCCTCCCCGCGCCCCCTCCCCTTCGCCATGAAGGTAGGTGATCTGTGCGCCGTCGACGCTCGCCACCCTTTTCCTTTTTTCTCCAAGAAGTTAACTAAATTCTCCCCCTCCCATACTTTGACCCCCACCCCAATTCTACCTAGTCCTCCATGCCCCCTACCTCTCTGAGCGGCTGGAACCCCCGCGTAGCTGGCAGGGACCCCCCCCCTACCCCTTTGACCCAACCCCCACCCCCAGCGCACCGCCTCGGTCTCCTGGGAGACCTCCAGTCCCACCAAACGTTCCGCAAACCTTCCCGACTTTGGACGAAAAGTGGAGCAGCGCTAAGACAGGAAGACTTGAGAACACGGTTCAAGGACGACTTTACTTTAAAAAAAATTTTTTTTTTAATACAGAGAAACTCGCGTGTAATTTTGCTATGTGTATTTCAGCCACAGGATAATGATTCAATTCAACAAATATTTACCAAGCACCCACTGCGCGGGCATCGAGAGGGTGGGTGGCGGGGGACTCGGCAAAGGAGAAAGGGTAGTCCTTGATTGGGGAGAGCCGGCAGTCAGACTGGGGCCCACAACCCCAGGCCAGAGGACCCTCAGTTTCTCCTCCGCCCTTGGAAGCGGGAGGCCAGGTTGCAGGCTCCTCGCGGCGGGGGAACCCTAGCGCTGGAGGCCCTGTGCCTTTAAGAGTGCCTGGCGGGGGGCCAGCGCGCACCCCGGCTCGCGGAGCTGGGTCGCGCTATTAGCATTATTAGCCGCCACTGGGTGAGCTCCGGCACTTTGCAGCGGCGATGGGGGCGGGGAGAGCTGGCCGCGGTGGCTCTAATTCTGTCCGCTGGGACTGCGCGCCCGGCCCCCTGCACGGAATCCGCCTGGTCCTTTGGAAACATTTGGGCCTCCGCGTTGGGAAAGCGGGCGGGGGGCAGTTTGTGAACTCTTGTTTGTTTTAATTGTCAGTTGTATGTTAAAGCCGAGTCACACACTCCGAGGGTCACCGAGAGTTCACTTTTAGGAAAAGTTAGCATTTCTTCCTGCAGTATAACTTTGCTGTTTCCCCCCCCCCCCCAAAAAACTTTTCCTGTCTCTGTCCTCTAAAACTTAAAATCCTTAGTTCCCTTTTTCTTGGTCTCTCCCGTTTTTATTTATTTATTTTTTAAAAGAATAGGTTGCAACTAGAATTACGGTATTTCTTAAAGGCAAACAAAACCCCTCTTTCTCCACTCTCCCCCTGCCCCCCCCCCCCATGATTAAAACAAACGTGGGCGAGGTGGGGGGGGGAGTCAACCCACTTTGGAGCCCCCTGGGCCTTGTTTTACTTTCCAGTCCCGGTCTGGCATGGGGTCCTTTCTCTCTAGTCTTTCTTTCAATGCACAATTCGTTGTTTGGAAGTCCCCTGGAGCCTGCAGTGAGATCGCACCTCCGTAGCCCCTTGTCCGCCCGCCAGCGTTCTCTATTGCAGCTGGCCAGATGCCGAGATTTCCTTTCGAGGCCGCCTCTGCCCGGGGAGTTCCGAGGGGACCCGAGTGAAAGCTCGAGAGCGATGGAGCGGCAGGAGAAATGTGTTGTTGGAGTGTGTGGCTCCGTGCCCTGAGTACGCGTATGCAAGCGTGCGTGTGGGTGGGGTGGCGATGTAGTAAAGGCTAAATTGTTGGTCCTGGGCATCCTCGCCTTAGTCCCGCCCGACACCACAAAGGAGGACCCACCCCGGGAGGCCCTGCCCCAGTGACTCTAGCCTTCCGCTCACCTCTTCGCACCGCTCTGGTGCACAAGGGGTTAGCACCCCGCGCTCGGAGCTCCGCGCTACCCGCTGTCTTTTCTTTCCCGCCGCGCGGTGCCGGCTGCCCCCTGTTGGCTGTCTTGAGGTAGGACACTTCGGAGTCTAACTTGGGGGCGGGCGGGCTGCACGCCTTTTCCACCTACCTACCCCAGGGACCCGCGCCTCATCCTTTCCGACCACCACCAGGTCCCGCTCTGCCCCTCGGCCCCTCGGAGGATCCCTCTCCCCCACCCCCTCTCCCCCACCGAGGACCAGCTGTGTTGCGTGGCCGCTGTAACGAGGAAGGGGCCTCAGGTCGGGGCCCCACAAATGGGACTTGGAGGAGTGAAGGAAAGGTTCGTACCTCTATTCCGAGACCCAAGAACGAGTCTCTCTAGTAGGCCTCCATCTGGCCTTGACTCACAGTTCCTCCCGAAGATCTTGGACCAGTGTTGCTTTCTTCTGGTCTCTTTCTTCATCCGAGCTGTCTCTAAAGAGGGGCGAAGGTTGAAGTGATTTTTAATCTGTAACCCATCTCCCCCCCTTCTCTGAACAGAGTTGAAAACCTTGTATGAGAAGGTGTGTGTGTGTTTGTGCGTCTTGTCCTCTTTCAGTCTGGAGAGGCTTGTCTCCCGGATGAATCAGGGGAGAGGGAACAGAATTAGGCATGGCCATTCTTCCTTTGGAACCTGTTTGTTTCTAGACCTACTGTCCTGTCCTTTCGGAGTCCTCGGGGGTCCGAGACAGCTTTATCTGCTCATTCCCTGTACTCTGCACTCGGCTCCAGAAGCTGCCTCTAAGCTGTCCTTCTCTTCAATCCACAGTGCTGTGGACACATCAGGATCCTCTGCGACCTTCCAAGCAAGAGGCATGTGGCGGTGGAGACTCCTTGTCTACTCCTAGCTAAACCGGCCCTCCTAGCCCTGTCGCATCAGCCTACTCTGCTTCTCCCCTCCTTGTACCCTTAATGATGCCCCACATTTATGATTATACCTTAGTTTTTCTACCACAAGTTTCCCCATCTTTCTAGTACATTTAGAGGTGTGTGTGTGTGTGTGTGTGTGTGTGTGTGTGTGTGTTGGGGGGGGGGAGGTGGGTGGGTGGGGTGGTATCTGGGTATGAAGTATGTTTCCTACCAAGAACGGAGGATCTTGAAGTTTCCTATCTCACCCTTTCGTAGTTAGTGTCTCCCCGTCTTTCCTAGTTAATGTCCCTCAGTCTTTCCACTGGGGGGGGGGGGGAGAGAGAGAGAGAGAGAGAGAGAGAGAGAGAGAGAGAGAGAGAGAGAGAGAGAACCAAGAGGATGGGGGGAGTCCCAGGACGTGGGAGGGAGCGCCAGTGTCAGAGAATGCCTTTGAGAAATTTCCCTCCACACTCCCAGGGCTCCAAGATTTGGGTGCCATGCGGGGGCTTTCGGATGCTTTTTGTCATCCCGGAAAATCCTTACACCAGCATGACATTTTGCCTTCCCAAATCCCAGGCCCGAACCCTACTAGAAGGATTAGAAACCTTTGTAATCCATTGCAAAGCTTTAGGAGAGGAGAGGACAGACAACCTCTAGGTTGAACACCTCTGGACTGGAAACAAGGGCGCGCCAATGCCCTACCCCCACCTCACCCCTTCAGAGCGATCAAACCTCTCAAATGCCCGCAGCCTTGTCCTCGGCCCCACAATACGTAGAGATTTACGGGACCCTTAACAAAGTTGGCTTCCCCGGCCCTGACAGTCTTCGAAAAATTCAGTCCGATTTTTGGTAAATTCAGACTCTTCCAGAACTTTGTTTTCGCCCGGTGTGATTATTTTCGGGAAAAGTCTCCTTTTGGACTGGTTTTTGAAGTTGTTTTTACTTTAAATTGCTGTAAGTCTCATCTCCTAGTCAATCGATCCATCCGTGCATTTGCCCCACAGAGTCCATGCATTTGAGTGCATTCACAGCTTGTGCCCTCCATCTCAGACTTGGGGGCGGGGAGCGGAGAGGGTCTTTGAGGTTTGCGCCGGGATTGAAGCGGGAAGGGGGCCAAGGTGTTTCCGGGCAAGTGCTCAGGGTTAAGTGGAAACTGGACTCGTTGGCCTTGCCTGCCTAATCCCCTTGGGAAACCTCCGGCCACCCCCCCTCCCCCACCTTCTGGCCCCCACCCCAGCCTGGAGCTGTGGGGTCCCGAATCGAGGAGACTCAATGGCCCACTCCCACCTCTGGGAATGGGTGGGCTCTTCCCAGGGTCGTCGGGCGGGTGGTGTGCTGGGTTTGTGTGGCTTCGCCTCTAACAAAGAGATCTGCCGTAATCCGGCGAATCTGTTATCAATTTCTCAGCCGCCCGCGCCCCGCCCTGCGCGCCCCGCCCGTCGGGAAACTCTGAAAGTACGCGCGGCCCACGGCGAGCGGGACGCCTTCCCGCAAGCCCGTCGGAGCGCGCGCTCGTGTGGATGCGCGTGAGTGTGCGACTTGATCTGAGTGTGTGCCCGGGTGTGTGTGCGCTCTCGGCCTTGGCCGTCGGCGGGGAGCGCAGACTTTGCGACCTGGGCCGCGCGCGAAGGCAGTCTCTGAAGCCCACCCCTCCTCTGGAGGAAACTTGACACTGGGGGCGGGGGTGGGGAGGAAGACCGAGTCTCCTTGCTCCCAAACTGGGGAAACCCTAAGTTTCTGCTCTCCAAGTTTCGTCTCCAGCTTTGAGGCGCTGGGGAGACGACCGGGCCCCGGGCGCAGAGCCCCGCTTTGCCGACACTGGGGACCACTTAAGCATTTCCTCTCCTCGAGGTGTCCGGGCCAAAGGGCTGCTGGCGGCGGGGGCGGGGGGAGGAGACCGTGACACGCTCCCAGCGCCCCTTCCCGTTCCCCCCACTCCCCCCACACCCCCCGCAGGTTGCAGGCAGGCCCTTTGGCTGCCTGGAGGAGGTCCGCTCTTTTCCTTTCTCGAGGAAGGGACTCCCTCGGGGACTGCGGGCGGCGCAGCGCAGCCGGGTTACGGTTATCGGAGATGTAAGAAAGGAGTTGGAAACCCGCTCCTCCCACCCGCACCCGCCACGGCCTCGCCGCGCAGCCGCCTACAGGTGGAGAAGTCACCAGTGGGGGAGGAACGGCAGCCGGAAGCTTCCAAAGCTTCCCCCCTGCCCCAGAAATTCTTCCCGACACGAAACGGAGCGCTCGGAGCCAGGGGCCAGCCGGGGCGCAGAAGCCCGCGCATCTGTGGTCCCGCGGGGAGCCACTCGAGCCGCCGGACGGTCCTCGGCGCGCTCTCTAGCCCAGGCCGGCCCAGCGGAGTCCAGAATGGGCTGGAGGTGGGTGGGGTGGCCAGGTGCGGAAGCCAGGCGACCCCCGGGGGGCCTGCCTGGGATAAAGGACCTACAAGTCTTGGTCATGACCAAAGGAAATTGGGCTTCCCTTGGCCTCCTGTCTCCCTCTATCCTGGCAGCTTCCCGGAATGGAGACCCGGAGAGTGAACACTCAGAATCTGGGGAGAGAGTGATGGAAAGGCAGGGCAGGGTCCTCTCCCGGGACAGCGGAACCCAGACCTCCTCGTTTGCTCCGACATGCCATCCCTTCCTGGAGGGACACAGAGTCCCAGGAAGAGATGGAGGTGGAGGAGGAGGAGGAGGAGGAGGAGGAGGAGGAGGAGGAGGAGGAGGAGGAGGAGAAGAAGAAGAAGAAGAAGAAGTCGGGGGCGACCATGGGCAGAGAACCAGTGGTCGGGTTTCCCAGGCTGGGGGAGCACATGTCTCTCCCCAGTATCCCCTCCCCCCCCATCCCCAAGCACTCTCCATCGCCAGTCTGGCGGTGGGGAAAGCCAGGCTGCCCTCCCCCCTCTGGAAGTGGCTTCCCCCAGCCCGGCCCGTGAACTGATTAGCAAGCATACGATGTTAATTCGGAGCTGCATTTCCCAGCTGGGCACACGCGCGCGCGCGCCGCTCCCCGGGGCCTCGCCCCCCACCCCCCACCCCTTGCCCTTCCCTCCCGCGTCCTGCTCCCACCCCCCACCCCTGCGCGCGGGCCACCCCGCCTCCTCCGCAGCCTCCGGCGGCGCGCTTCACTCGCCTTCGCGATCCTCTCGCCCATGGAATTAATTCCGGCTCCACTTGTTGCTCGGCCCAGGTCGGGGAGAGGACGAGGGTGGCGCGGCGGGTGCCCGAGTGAATCCCCGAGGAGGGACCGAACGCGGCGCAAACTAGAGGGGAGCGAGGGGGTGCGGGACGCGCCAGCACGAAGGAGGCAGCGCCTGGCCCCGGCGCTTTGACTCGACAGCATTGAGACATGTTTGTAATCGCTGGCGTGCCCCGCGCGCAGGATCCCAGCGAAATCAGATTTCCTGGTGAGGTTGCGTGGGTGGATTAATTTGGAAAAAGAAACTGCCTATATCTTGCCATCAAAAAACTCACCGAGGAGAAGCGCAGTCAATCAACAGTAAACTTAAGAGACCCCGGATGCTTCCGTTGTTTAAACTTGTATGCTTGAAAATTATCTGAGAGGCAATAAACATCTGCTCCTTTCTTCCCTCTCCAGAAGTCGAGTGGAATATTAAGCCCAGGAGTTGCTTTGGGGACGGCTGGAAGGGCAATGTCTTCCAAGTTCTTCCTAATGGCTTTGGCCATATTTTTCTCCTTCGCCCAGGTTGTAATAGAAGCCAATTCTTGGTGGTAAGTTCGTTTTCCGTGTTTGGTCTTTATTTTAAATTTACTTTTTTAGAGGTTTGTTCATAGGAGGCAATGACTAAAGCCGAGTAGTGAGTTTGGGTGCTTTTGTCTACTAGGTATGTAGTATTTTAAAAAAATTAATCTTAAACAGACCTTTTTTTTTTTGATTTGCTAATATTGTAAAACGTATCTTTATTTGGCTCCCAGGTACCAAAACCTGTAATTCTAGACCTCTTTATCTGTGGCCCTGTTTGAGATGTATGCTTATAGCTGCTAGTTCATTTCTTCATGAAAGGCAACTAAGATCCAGTTCTTGAATAATCCTGAACGAATCTAGCCAATGGACTTTTTGCCACCTCTAGGTAGTAAAAGAGAGTTCCAGCTTTTTCTATTTTCTGTCACTTGAGAACATGAACCTTCAGGGTTTGGAGCAGGCAAAGTTCTAGTGAGGTTGTTAGACTCCAAGAAGGAAAGTCTGTGGCTTGAAATTTGATTGAAGGGAAGTTGACTTGAAGTAGTCCAAAGTCCGTGCATGAGACTTGCTTTCTGGTAGGGGCCTTGCAGATAGACTGCAGTATATCCAGAAGATTATTTCTGACGGGGTTCTGGATATTCTTTCCCTGTGAATGAACAGCGTTTTTCTGACTGTCAAACATGACTTCTGTTCACTGAATACCTTGTCTTGGGTCCTCCACAGTCATATAAGGAGCCCTTTTAAAATGTCCAGAACATGGCGGATTTTTCTTCCATCTGTATACTTGTACCCCTGTTCTCCCATCATCACCAAACCTGCTCCCTCCTACCCTCCCCGTGTCGAATTGTGTCTGCTTTCAGCATTAGCATTCGTACTTTTTCCAAGCAGACCTGTCCAATTTAGTGGAGCAAAGTAAGTCACTTTCTCTCATGTCAGAGGCCTGTCCCCCAAACCACCATCTCCCCCTTCTCCAAGCGCCTTCGGAAATGCTGGTTCAAGTCTATGGCAAAGGGCAGGGCAGGCAGGGAGTGAAGTCTCTGAGGAAGGAGCCAGCTGGCGGGATGAGGACTGCACAATACCTCCGTTTTCTGAGTGGAGTTTAAACAGAGAAGTTTTATGAAGCCCTTCTCATACTTTGTCATCAGGACAAGCAGGAGAGAAAAAGCATCTGTGTGCTTAAAACCATGTATTGCAGACATGTTTTCCTGGGGCCTACCTCAAGAGTTCACGTAAATCTTGAATGCACATCTCCCCCCGCCCTTTTTAGGTCGCTAGGTATGAATAACCCTGTTCAGATGTCAGAAGTATATATCATAGGAGCGCAGCCTCTCTGCAGCCAACTGGCAGGACTTTCTCAAGGACAGAAGAAACTCTGCCACTTGTATCAGGACCACATGCAGTATATCGGTGAAGGTGCGAAGACAGGCATCAAAGAGTGCCAGTACCAATTCCGACATCGGCGCTGGAACTGCAGCACAGTGGATAACACCTCGGTGTTTGGAAGGGTGATGCAGATAGGTAGGAAACCATTTAACATATTTAAAAATACACCTAAACTTCTCTGGGAGAAAGACTTTCATGTTGATTCCAAGCTGGAGAAGGAGGGAATCATCTTCCAGCAAAATGATTATCTGTGGGTGCTAATTCCTGTCTCCCTCCACTCCACACACCTGATTTTGTGATTTGTATTTTCTTTCAACAAAACAAGAGGGCACACCTTGGCTTTTTTTTTTTATGCACAGGGAAATTTTCTTAAAAAAGGGGGGTGGGTTGTTTAAAATAGAGGCAGAACGGCTCACTTGGTTTTTCCAAAGTTGATGAGGAAATTTGAGTCCTTTATATCCTTTCAAACTTGATAACTTTGAATTGGTAATTGTTTTTCTAAGTTTTAAACCTCATTTCAAATGGCCTACGCATCAAACTAAAATTTGTCATCTTCCAGAAAGCTGGGTATGTTGGAAGCAAATAAGGTTTTAATTTTCTCAATGTCAATATTTCCTGAGGCAATGGAGATATATATGTTAAAAGCTTTACTTTTAGTTCCAGAAAGAATTTTAATTAGAAGTGATCCAATTTACATTTCTGATTTGGGCAATTGATATAAAAGCACATGCTTTAGATCTCAAAGTAGAAACTTCGAAAAATTAAATGTATCCCTCACAATTTGAATCTCTATTTTAAATATAATGTTGAGCTAGATATTCTGTTCAGGGGAGAGATGGCATGACAACTGGGCTAAATTGTGAAAAAAAATAGTTTGTCTCTATTTTGAAAAAATTAGTTTGTCTCTATTTTGGTTTAAGAGCACAGGATACACTCTCACAGACATGGCCCCTGTGTCTGTTTTCTAGTGTGAATATTTTAGGTCTCCCTACTTTTATGCAAACAAGCCCTTATAATTAATCTGACTTCAGCGTCTCCTAAAATAAGGGGCAATTTTTCAAAGCAATTAACTGTTTATACTTACTGAAGTTTTTTTAAAAGTTGGCTTAATATCCATCATGGATAGATAAAATGCTTTTTTGAAACCCCTGAAAAGTGCATTCATTGAGAACAAAAAAGAGTTGTCAGTGGATGTTTGAGCCAAGCAGCTTCATAAACTAAAATAATACAGGGACTGGAAGCCATTCCTCTAATTGAATGGGAAAATGTTCTGCAGCTTTAGCCTGCAAAGTTTCATAGGGCTTTGTCCTTCCTGTTAATGATTAAAATGTGCTAATGTATATACTGGGATCTAAACTGAGGAGTTAAGCTTCAGGAACACTAGTTTTCCTTGACTATGGGCTGCCTTGTGCAGTTAACTTGGCCTCTGATGGAAATTTAATTCTCCTAGTCTTGTGAGTAAGCTAAAAAGTTTTCTCTTAGCTATATCAGAATGGTAAGTTGCCAGTTTTTGCCCTTCACCTTTGCCTTATATGTTGCTCCTAAACTGTCTTTCTCTCAAACCATGGGATCACTGTTTCCCCCTCTATATGGATTAGCAAAAATCCATGCCACTCTGAAGGAAAACTGCACTTGAAACTATTTTGCTGTGTAGTCATTTGAACACAGCTTTGATTTAAGATCTTCTCTTTGTATGTAGTCATGTGTCCTGAGGCCAAAATGTTCGCAATAAGTTATCATTTGCTAAGTGGATTTGAGTACTGCTGGAGATTTATTTAAAATGAGATCCAAGATTCAAAGAGCCTGCTTCCTCTGGGAACAAACAGAACCCTTGGTGCTAAAACCTATATTTAATTGTCATTGGCAAATGGACTCTGATCCTCAGTTGAGGGGTACCACCACTTGGGGTGATGAGAAAAAAGAGGGACAGAAGTTCCTTAAGGCCTCCTAATACTGTCACCCAGGTCTCTGAGGGCTTGAGAAGATGAGAACATATCCTCCTTTTCCTTTGCCAACAGTTGCCCTGGGTCCAGTCCCTGGGACCTCTAGAAAGCAAGTTACTGCTGGGTGTCTTCTAGAGAAGGTCCTGATGGGGCCTTCTCTTAATTGATTAAACAGAAAAAAGAGATGGAGAGAAGAAAAATCAGTGTCAGATTTTATTGAAGCTTCAGCACAGACCCAGACTGAATACTGGGAAAGATACTTAGCTTTGAGTCTTCTATTTAAGGGTTTGTTTAAAGAGACTGAGCTAAGGAAACATATAAAACCTCCTTGATGCGGAAGGTGTGTGTATGCCTAGTCCAAAGTGCTTAGTGCACCAGGGACCTGGGGAGAAACTCTTGTCTGTGAGAATCTGACCCTGGCATGGGACAGGGTCTGAGAAGTTCAGGCCACCACCTCCAACCCCTTCACTCATTTTTCTAGGGCGCCAGATTTCCTTATACGCACAGTACACAATTGCCTCATGAAGGGCCTGCTCTTCATTTTGGAAATGTTCTCATTTTTCACCGTGCAACCCTTTCCTCTCAGCTTTTGTCTCTGTCTCCTCTTTGTTTCCATGCTGTGAAAAGATAAGTCAGAAAGGCACCATTTTTAAGGACTGTGAGGAGCTGAAGAGATGCAGATCTCACAGAGAGGGGAAACCTCCCTGAACCAGCAGGATTTCATCCAGGATGACTGTATCCACAGGCCACTGGCTCTAAAGCACTTTTCAAATAGATTTTTTTTCCCCTGCAGTGACCAGTTAGTTTAGAGTTATTTTTAAACCAGGTTTGTATTCTGGACCAAAAAATAATAATTATTCTACAACTGTACCTCATGGTGTCTCACTAATAAAAATAAAAAAAATAATAATTATAATAAGAAAGGAAATGCTCAAGACAAACTTGGGGGTGTGGGAGGCAGCATTACTGTATTTTATATATATGACCTTTTATGTTCTATATACTCAGAGGAACCTGACTGACCTTCCTCTTTCTCTCCAGAGAATTGTTGATCTCTTCTTCCTCCAGCTATAACCTCTTTATCCTACACATCTCCTGTGCAGTCCACAGCACTTTCTGTATTATCAGTGTTAATCCTCAAATAACTCCCTCAAAATATGTCTTCTCTCCTCATTCTTCTCCACTCCCCCAATGATGCTCTCTGACACTCTAATTTGAGCTAGCTAGAGATAGCACCCCCAACTCCGGGAACTTTTTGGGTCTTCATTGCCAAACACCAGCACACTTCTCCAGTTATTCATTTTTAAAACGTGAGAGGGAAAGTCTTTGGTAAATGAAAACCAGCACCATTCCTAGGAGGGGAGTCAAATGGCTAAGGATTCAAGTGTGGAGAAGTCTGAGGAAAAGGCAGGGGCCAAGCAGGTCTACACAATACTGGCTTGCCATAGCCAACCCTTGCAGAGTGACCCTTTGGACTGGTATCGGGTCTTGTGGTCAGTTGTTCTTGTGCCACCTCCCTTCCCACCCCAAAGAAAGATGATTCAAAAGATCTTTTAAGTGTACGAGAAAACCATACTGATCTAGGGATTTCAGAGACAGAGGAGACACTCCCTTTGCTAGGAATTTTATTCATTACCCTTATTCTATAGTAGAGGAAAGGCCCCCTCAGCCTCCCCAGACCCAGAGTTAGCTGGCCAGGTCTTAGCCCTTTCTCATTATTTGTACCGCCTTTTAATTAAGTGGCTTTTTGTTACATGTAGAAATGTCTCTATACAAGTGGAGACTAAGGTAATCAATCTATGATGGGTTTCACAGGTAGAGATTTTTTTTTTTACATATTTTAGAAAAGAAGAAAACTCCATTCTCCTGTACTTTACAAGTACGGAGCAAGGGAAAATTCCTTCTCCCTTTCTCCTTAGAATGTGTCTTTCCTTTTCTTACTACTGTTCTGGTACTTTGAGGCGAAGGCGGTCAGGGAATTGAAGTGACGTTAAAGAACAGCCGGCTATGTTCAAAATAAGCAGTCATCTTAGATGATAAGCATCAGGCCAGTCAGCTGAGGATTTAACAAGAGGCCAGTTTCTTCTTTAACTCTCGAGGAACCCATTGAGAGCTGTCCCCTGGAAAGTAAAGGCTTGTCTGAGACAGAAGACAGCCGCCTGGGCATGAGGGCAAGGTGGAGGCTGAGCCAGGCCATAACTGCCAAGGGAGGAGGGGGAAGCCGGCCATGAGTGTGGCCACAACCGCAGCTGCTGCAGTGTCTGGGTGCCACTGGGGCCCTCAGACTTGCAGAGACTCTCCACTTAGGGCTAGCCAATTGTAGGCGCCTGCCCTGTAAGTAACTCAAAGTGAAAATCAGGCCCACTGGTAAAGTGAGCGTAAGAAACTCTACCCAAACCCTGACTGTGCCCTCAAAGACTTCTTTCATGTGCGTATTTGGAATTAAGTTTTGGATATTTTCAAAAAGCTTCCTAGAGACAAAATCAATCCAGCCACCGCTTAGAAGTCTGCCTTAGGCTCTCTCCGAAATGGAAATGGCAACAGTAGGACAGGAGATCAGGGACCTGCTCCTGCTTTGTCATCTGTGGCTTCCTTTGTGTTTGCTACTAAGTAGCGGTTGGGTTGCCAGGGCCCTCTGGTTACTCCAGGGGAGTGCTGGGGCCCCGGTGGGGAGCCTGGGCATCCAGGCTGCTGGGGTTGCTGCGGGCGGGCGGGCGTGCAGGCTGCTGGGGACCTAGGTGTGTGTGGGGGGTGCAGGGTGCTGGGGGAGTGGTGGGGGTGTGCAGGCCCCTGGGCTGGTGCGTGACCCTGTCCTCGCCCGCAGGCAGCCGCGAGACGGCCTTCACGTATGCAGTGAGTGCCGCCGGGGTGGTGAATGCCATGAGCCGCGCGTGCCGGGAAGGCGAGCTGTCCACTTGCGGCTGCAGTCGCGCCGCACGCCCCAAGGACCTGCCGCGGGACTGGCTGTGGGGCGGTTGCGGCGACAACATCGACTACGGCTACCGCTTCGCCAAGGAGTTCGTGGACGCCCGCGAGCGGGAGCGCATCCACGCCAAGGGCTCCTACGAGAGCGCGCGCATCCTCATGAACCTGCACAACAACGAGGCAGGCCGCAGGGTGAGTGACCCCTCCCGCCACCCCCCAAGTCCCGTCCCCAGTCTTTTTGCGCCCCCTGGCTTTCTCCTTCTGCCACCCCTCTGGTTGCTCTCCTTTCTCTCATCTCTGTCTTGGCCCTGTTCCTGGAGACGGAGAGTCTCTCTTCATGCACTGAAGCTTTCCCTGGCTAGGATACCCCTCTTCCCCCGACCCCCAGCCCCCTCTCCGAGAAGTCTCTGCGGGAGAGGTGGGGGGGTGTGTGTCTGAGTGACACCCCTGTCACCAAGGTGTACCTGAGAAACATTCTCTGCCTTTTAGGCCCACTGCAGAGCACAAAAGCCCTCTCTGCTCCTGGACACGTTTGTGCGTTGGCTTAAATGTGGGCAGGGAATTCTGTGTCCCAGTCAGCTGCCCGCTGCCCTCTCAGAGCCTCCTGTGGGCTGGAGCATAGCATAGTGAGTCCCTGGGATGCTCCACTTGCCCAGAATGCTCTGACTGGAGTTTGATCCCCACCCCTAGCCCCCTGTCAGGAATGATCCCTGAGAGCGGAGCAGGATAAAACCTCTATCTTTGGGTGTGGCCCCCAAGAGTCCTTAAAAAACACCCAGGAAAAAAGCTTCCCTTCACCCCAGGTGAGAAACCTTACTTCTTCCTTTCTCTCCACTTGCTATTAAATAGCAAGCCGGTTGGATTTTAAAGGAAATAAAATTAGAGTTTTTCTAGGAAAGCATTTTTCAGGAGCATGGAACAGGCCTGTCCCGTGGGGCTCAGAGAGAAGCAAGGGCCACTCAGCTGCCCAGAGAGGAACAGATTTGGGCACCCTCATGAGTTCCTCTCTTCTGCTTTTTTTCTTCCCCTGGTGAGGTGTGAAGAACTTCACAATAAAGACCCCCCCACCACCTTCTTCCCCTCTGTGGTTAAACACATGGCACTTTATGGCTGCTTTAAAATGAAGGGGTGAAAAAGTTTCTTAACTTTGGCAGCATTGAAAACCAGGGTCATTGTTTTTTCACAGAACCCAAGGTAGATAGATGCCAGGAACTTTCTGGTCAGAGATTTTACTCTTCTGTATTTTGGGGTGAGGAAAAGGGAAGAAAATGACAGAGTAAAATACAGAAGACTGAAAGGAGCCTTAGAACCCCCGGTGGCACACACTCATTTCAAAGATTGGGAACATGAGACTTAGAAAAGATATAGTAGAAAATTGATGAAATGGGATCATGAAGCTGTGTCTCAAAAAAAAAAAAGTGGAAGGAAGAATGATTTGGAATGAGAAGTTCAATTCTTTCCTTTTCTGTTTCTAAGCCTCAGTTCCATGTCTATTCGTGGGGTTGTTGGGATGCCTGAAGTCCTATAGTAGACTGAAACATGTGAAACGGCCACTAGTTGACTGCTCCTGGCCAACCAAAATAAGTTTTGTATGACTCAAACACAAGTGTTATTTGAATGCTGTCCGCTTAATAGTGCTTGATAAATGGTAATTTAATTACTAAGCATTAGGAAGCCAGGCTTATAGAGATGCCAAGGATGATCTAGACACCTCCAGTTAACCTATTTTCTCCTCAAATATGATGTTAAATAGTGGGCATGCAGGAGAGAATGAAACTGCAGAATTCTGTTTGAGCTGCCTGAGAAGTCAGATCACTGCTCCAGAAGGATCAAGACCTCTCCTTTCTGGGTCCTCTATTGCTGGGCTACTGCTCTGTAGGTCTCCTCACCATGCTGGGTCTGCCCAAGGTCATGGCCAGGGTGTGCCAGCTCCCCAAATACTTGCTCCTTCACCCACCAACATCTTCTCACTCTGCATAGAGTGAGCTCAGTGCCTCCAACCAGAAATATCTGCAAGGCGAGAGGGCCTGGCTGATTCTTCCAGAGCCTGTGGGGGCTGTGTTTGGTGTTTGCATCCATCTTTGGGGATTTCCTCAAAATTCCTCATGTGGAAATGCCAGAGGGGCAAGGGATTTCTTTTCCAAATAGAGAAAAATTTTAGAATGTGGGAAAAGAAATTTTAGTATTATTAAGTTTTATTTAGTATCTACATATTTTAATAATGAGGTTTTTCTTTGGAGGGGGGTTAGTTGATGATGGTGACCATTCTTTGAGCAGTAAGCATGGATCCTGACAGATGTAGGTAGAGGACAGTTTTTCTCCAGGGTAATGGTATGGGGGAGGGAAGTTGGACCTTTCTCCAGGAAATGATATTAGAATACTCTAGGGGCATTAGTCCCCCCGCCCCCCCCACAAAGGAGAGCAAAGGTTAAAAACATTTGCGAAGCCCTCCCTCAGACTGAGTGCCTAATGCAGAGGAAGGGAATGATACACTCAGGCCTCCTTTTAAAGGAAGTCCCAGAGGAATCCCTGGAGGAAGAAGTCAGCTAGGCTGGCTGGAGGGAGGCAGCTTTCTCATTCACTCCAGCCTCCAGGCTCCTGACAGGCTCACTGCAGCATGCCAACACCCAGTCTATGCTGGAGGATCACTGGCATGGGAACTGTGGGCAGTTAGGACTCTAAATAGGAAACTCCCCAGCTCCCGGGCTGTTGAATGTACAGTCCTGGGGGGACAGCACTATGAGCACTGCTGCTGGGAAGCCAAAGTAAAAGGGTCCATGAGCAAGGCCTCCTTAGCCCCTACTTAGAGAATACGGATTTCCTGATTGCATCCTGCTTGCCAAGCTCTTTCTCTGTGTCCACTAATTTTGTTCTGTAATAATTCTCCGCGGTGAAGGCCTTCCCAGCTCCTGGCACAGATAGAAAAGGGACATTGGGAAGGGATTTTCCTGATCTGAATTCATGGGTCAGAACACACATCTGCCAGGGTCCAAGATGGGTTGAATCTTAACCTAGGCCATAGGGAAGGGCGATGTGAGGAGAAAGAGTGAGAATTGCAGAGATTCCTGCCCAGCTTGCCCTTTGCCTATGTAGTAGCTGTGTGAGCGGTGTGGCCTCCTGACCCCATCCTCCCATATCACTCCACCATCAGCTGTTCTGGCTCATGTGGTGGCATTATTGGGAGGATTCAGTGGGATCAAGTTTGCATTCACATGATGGTGCCTGGTGAAAGTGATCATCATAACTGTACTGGTGTGCGAAGCTCCAAACCCTGATGCCCCCTCACTTGACCACTTACCTGCTGGGTGTCCAAGGGCAGCCTCGGAGCCCAAGCTTGGATAGCAGCTCACATTGTGGCACTCACCCTCTCCCTTCTTTTCAGCTGTTGTAAGTCACTCCCTTTTGGGGGCCTCACTTTTCTTCTGTATGAAGTAGGGAGGATCATCGTGGCAAGTCTCCTTAGGGGTTGATTGTGGGGATGATTTCAAGAGGGGCACACCAGGAATCAGAAGCAGTGTCTGGGAGGAGCACTCAGGGTATCTTACCAGTTGTTCGTGTTTCACTGTAGAAAAAGAAACAACTGGAGCTATGTTGTTTCCATTCCCCATTCAAAACCATAATTTCTTATTGCAGTAATGATGATGATGATGTTTCAATGAGCCATGAGCTCGTACTTGGAGGTTTGTTTTTTTTTAAGATGGTAATTCGAGGGGCCAGAGAGATCCTACTGCACTTAAGGCACTTCCCGTGCCTACAGCCCACCTGGGTTCAGTCCCCAACATCATACATATAGGGTCACCTGAGCACAGTCACCTAAGTGCTAAGCACACGCAGTTGTGACCCCCCCCCCCCAACCCCTGCGAAAAAGAAAAACCAGAATAAAATGAACAAGATGACAGGGCACATCTCTGGTGGTGAGGTGGAAGAGGAAGCAATTCCACCTGGTTTAGCTGGGGGCCGTGGCTCTCTAGAATCAGGTGGGCTTGACTGCTTCTGAGTGCCTGCAAGAGTATATACCCTAGCAACTCTCCTTGTTTCTCTGCAGACGGTGTACAACCTGGCTGATGTGGCCTGCAAGTGTCACGGGGTGTCCGGCTCCTGTAGCCTCAAGACTTGCTGGCTGCAGCTGGCTGACTTCCGCAAGGTGGGAGATGCTCTGAAGGAGAAATATGACAGTGCTGCAGCCATGAGGCTCAACAGCCGGGGCAAGCTGGTACAGGTCAACAGCCGCTTCAACTCACCTACCACGCAGGACCTAGTCTACATTGACCCCAGTCCTGACTACTGCGTGCGCAATGAGAGCACGGGCTCGCTGGGCACACAGGGCCGCCTGTGCAACAAGACCTCAGAGGGCATGGATGGCTGCGAGCTCATGTGTTGTGGCCGCGGCTATGACCAGTTCAAGACGGTGCAGACAGAACGCTGCCACTGCAAGTTCCACTGGTGCTGCTACGTCAAGTGTAAGAAGTGTACGGAGATTGTGGACCAGTTCGTGTGCAAATAGTGGGCACCCGTGACCTGCCCGTCGCCCCATCCCACTCCCAGGACCCACTTATTTATAGAAAGTACAGTGATTCTGGTTTTTTTTTTAAAAAATATTGTTTTATTTTTTCCCCAAGAATTGCAACCGGAACTATATTTTTTTCTGTTCCCATCTAAGGACTCTGTGGTTTATTATTAATATTATAATTATTATTTGGCAGTAATGGGGCGGGGGGAGGGGGAGGTGGAAACCGTGGCAAATATTTATTTTGTGGATCTTTTAAAAGGTAAGGCAAGACTTCTTTTGATGGTACAGAATGAGGGGGCCAAAACACCCTAACTTAGTTGTGTGTACATCTAGAAGGTAAAGGAAATATGCGTTCTTTTCTCAGCTGTGGGGTCCTATTATATTGTGGCACCTAGGTGCAAGAGAGTGGTGCAAGTTTAAGCACAATTCAGCTTCTGTGATCAAAATGAATTGTGAACGCTCTGGTAAAAGCTGAAAGGTCTTGTGGAACAAATGAAAAAAAAAAAGGAGACCCCCTCCCACGCCCTCCCCAAAGGTTGCCAGCTTCAACTATCAGAACGGTTATTTAAAATAGGAGAGTACAAATCTTTTCATTCTCAAAGCAAAAAGATAGAGACTGTGTTTCATTCGTCTCAAACATTCCTTTGCAGATGGTTCTGTTGTCGTGGCTACTGAAACTTGGGGAGCAGAGAAGGAAAGTCCGTAAAATTGAAACAAAATTAAAATTTCTTTAAGACAGTGATTGGAGTTGTTATTGAAATTAGGTTTCCAGATAGGAAAAGAATCCCTGAGTAATTCAGGGTATGAGATATTATATTTTGAAAGGGGCCTGGACAATTATACTAGATGTGAAAGGAAACTAGGTAGAGATTCATCAGGGTATTGGGTAAGGAAAAAACAAATACCAAAAATGAAATGTGAATTCCACTCTTAGATCTTCAGTCCAGGAATCAAGGTAATCCCGTGCTGTTCTGCACCGCACCAGAGCAGAAAGCTTGTTAGGTTGTTTAGGGGAAAAAAATGAAACTGCCCTCTCAATTGACCCTCTTTTTCCCCCTGCCCACCGCCCCCCATTTCTCCATTTCTCCTGCCTGTCCTGCAGCCTGTAGCCCAGTGCTGGCCTCGTATCCAAACAGCAGCTCCGCTAGGTCCCCTTTGACCTTAGGACAGGAAATGAAACATTAGGAGCTCCACTTGGAAAAGAATTCACTACTTAGGGACCTTTCCCCCTTAAACCTTTTATTTTGAGGAACAGTAGTTTTATGTGTGTTAATGACATGACTTAGTTCAAACGTTGTACACGGAGGTGTGTTGCAGCCCTGCCGTTAGGATCCTGTGTGTAGACTATCCGCTCAAGCTTTTCCTATTATACTGCAGGTGTACCTGAAAACTGTTCCCAGTGTACTTGAACAGTTGCATTTATAAGGGGGGAAATGTGGTTTAATGGTGCCTGATATCTCAGTCTTTTGTACATAACATATATATATATATACATACATATATTATTATAAATATAGTTATATCTCAGAGCAGCCAGTGATTTAGACTGACAGTTTACTGTGGGTTTATTTCTCAGTCTAGAGAATCGTTGTCCTTCACTGCAATCCAATTGGTATTTTTCCAAAGGGCTTCTGAGCTGAGCTGGTACTGCAGCCCTGATGCGGGGTCACACCTTGATGCAGCCTTGTTTCTGAGGAGTCTGGAAGGTCTTTCTGACAGGCATGTTGGTTTGAAGAATTTTTTGTTTTAATCTTGCCCGACCCTGTTCTCTTTAATCTCTGTTCTGTACACTTTCCAGAGAGGGCATTACTTGTTTGTCTTAGACTTGGAAATGAACAGATGTTCCAAACTCAGAACCATTGTCACAGTTTCGCTAGGTCACTGTGCAGAGTTGGAGACCAGTGCATAGTAGTAGATCTGGGAGTATTTATTCGAGTCCCTAAGGAAAATCCAGCTATCTATATTCTTATCTCAGACATAGGTTGCTTTGAAAGTCTGGAAATGTACACATCTCCTGCAACCCTCTAGGCTTGGGGGCCTTCATATCACCTCAGTCATCTGTGGCTCTTAATTTATTGCACAAGGATATTCACTTTCTCTCGGTTGCAGTGAATTGCGAGCAAAGATCTTGAAATTGAAAAGCACTAATTAGCTTAAAATGTCACTTTTTTGGTTTTTATTATACAAAAACCATGAAGTAATTTTTTTATTTGCTAAACCAGATTTTGTTCCTTGTTAGTGATTCATGTTTATGAAGAGAGTTGAGTTTTAACAATCCTAGTTTTTAAAGAAACTATTTAATGTAAAATATTCTACTTGTCATTCAGATATTATGTATATCTTCTATGGCCTTTATTCTGTACTTTTAATTGTACATATTTCTGTCTTGCGTGATTTGTATATTTCACTGGTTTAAAAAACAAACATTGAAAGGCTTCTGCCAAATGGAAGATAGAATATAAAATAAAATGTTACTTGTATATTGGTAAGTGGTTTCAGTTGTCCTTCAGATATTTCATGTGGAGATTTTTTTGAGAAACCATGAGGGATAGTTTAGGGTGACTACATGTCAGAATAGTAGGATAGTGGAGGATTTTTAACAAAACCCAACTATTTGGAAACTTCAAAAGATTTCTATATGTAACGGAACAAAAGGGAATTTTCTTTTCCTATATATGTTCCTCCAAAACAGAAATCAAGCAGATGGCTTAAAGCTGGTTATAGGATTGTTCACATTCTTTTAGCATTATGCATGTAACTTAATTGTTTTAGAGCGTGTTGCTATTGTAGCAGCTCAGGGAAGAACTGAGAAGGGCTTGTGCTTTTATCCATGACTAGAATTTTAATTTGAAAAAGTATATTTGTATTTACCACTGCAACAATTGCACTTATCTAGCTGAGGTTACTCCGGACTGTCTGTATATCCGTTTAGTTTTATGAAAACCCAATCTCAGTTTGCAGAGTGTAAACTCATTGGAAACTAAAGGTTTGTTATATTTAGTGCAATTAATATGAGTTCTTGAGCTTTCTGAAAATGTACACTCAAATCAAGCCAACCCTGTGTAGATTGATATGTTAGCCTTATGCTGTTTTTTTTTTCTTTCCGGATAACCTTGTAACATATTGAAACCTTTTAAGGATGCCAAGAATGCATTATTCCACAAAAAAACAGTAGACCAACATATAGAGTGTTTAAAATAGCATTTCTGGGCAAATTCAAACGCTTGTGGTTCTAGGACTCACATCTGTTTCAGTTTTTCCTCAGTTGTATATTGACCAGTGTTCTTTATTGCAAAAACATATACTTGATTTAGGAGTGTCAGCATATTTTTTCTTTTCATCCTGGAGTGCATTCAAGATCTTCCCAATAATGGAAAATTAACAAAAAAATTTATATATAGGCAGTGGTAAACAGAGCCATGTTCAAAACAGTAATTATGGGCTCAAGTGAAAGGGAGACTGTTTAAACTTTTTGTCCAGTATATCTGCTCAGTTCTTTGACCTCCCGAGACTAGCCTTGCACATGTTTTACTAGTCTACCCAAAGCCTGTCTCACTGGAGAAATTTTGCCAACGCTAATTTTCAACTTGCTTTTGCAAAACATTACTCAAGCCACTTGCTTATGAAATGGGACACTCTAGCAGGATCAGTTAGTGACTGGTACTCATTGACTTCAAGAGATCCCTGGCACTAACTATTGCTTTCCTCCCAAACTGAGTGGTCTATAAAATAAGAGACATAGGTAGAAGGGGTGCTTATAACTTGAAGCATATATGTTGCAGATATGCACCACAGCATAGATCTGAAAAAACTGCACTGTCACTGTAAAGTATACTTTTAAATATTTATTTTGTTAAAATATTTTTTAGTCTCCACTTTCTCTGGAATGGCAAAAACCAGATGCTGTATTTTGAAAGTAGGATGATGAAATGAGCTTTTAATACAGGAAGCACTCAGCAGCAAAATAATTGAAATTTAGTAAAGGAATCTTCTGATTTACCTGTTTACACAACCTTCACACTTAAATCTGATGATTGAAAAGTATTTCAGTGAAACATCACCTTGCTAGTCAGCTTTCAAAAAAACGGGTGTAGAAGAGTTAATGTTTGGAATGATTTTTAAGAGCAAAATGATATAAGTTTGGAACTAGGTGATTAAAATGCTATCTCAGTATCTCGAAGGGAACAAGAAAAATTGCATCTTAGACCAGTTTTATATGCAGTGTACAATTTTCCAGGCTAGAAATGAGATAAAATTATTTATTTTTGTTCATATCTTGTAATTTTTTATTAAAATAATTTTATGAAATTGGTGCAGTCATGTGTGTGATTAGCAGAGATGGTATTTATGACAATAGAAGTTTGATATGGGTATGGAGCATGTTATGGCTTAAGGCATCCAGAGTGACAAAAAATAATCTCAGGCATGTTGGCGGCATTATGGTCAAATCTCAAGGACTTATTTTACATTTTAATACTCTTCTTTTGCTATTACTAATCTTTTCATTCCTATGTGCTCTGCTTCTGGTGAGGTATGGAGCAAATTACTCCATGAAGAAACATAGCAAGTGATACAGGATGTGAGGCAGTTCCAAGGAAGAGGAAAAAGATGGATTTCTTTGAAAAGAGAAATAAAATAACAGTCTACATCAAATAAATCCCTTAGAATATTCTGCAGGTTGCATGTAGTAATGATTGCCAGTCAGATATTGGGGTCAGGGTTTTTCTGTCTTAGCTCTACTGGCATTTGAGAATGGTTTAGTTTATTATGGAAGTTTATCTTGTGCAATGTTTAGTAGAATACCTGCCTTCTATCCAGTGGATGCCAAGAGTACCCCTCCCCTATTCATGACAACCCAACATATCTCCAGATTTTGCAGAATGTATCTCAGATTGCAAACCACCCTCAATTGGGAATGGTGGGACTAGGTAAAGGGACAGAGGTTTGGATCATTTGGGGAATACAGGCTAAATGATGATGATAGTCAGTTACTTCCCTAGGTTACTAAAGAGCTGAAGAGGTCCCTTTAGGATTCCTTGTGTAGAGGATGGAGATGCGGTACTTTGCACAGAGCAACCTGGCTTAGAACATTGACTCTCGATCCTGACTACTGAGGTTCAAATCTGAGTACTGTCATTTTCTGTGTCACCTCAGAAAAATTGTACAACCCCTCTGAGCTCTTGTCTTTTAAACAGGAGAGTACATTATACTTACCTTTTAGGGTTGTTGTAAAGTTCAAATTAATGTGTACAGGGTGTTTAGAGCATATTATATCTATTTTCAAACATTTATACCAGTGGACCAGGGGAAATAGAAATGTGTTTTTGGACCACTAAGGCCAAAAATATTATGTATAAAAATATTTACCTATATCATGACACGATAAGCACCATTTGATAAAATGATATGATATGATACACTTGCTATGCTTGTATATTTATTCACTATAATACTACTGCTACATGAGCCAGGAGAGTATTAAAATGTAATAGGTTAA